GGTGCCTGTTTTATGTCCCTTAAGACATGATCACATGAATATAAGTATCACAATCACTCTACAGGGAAGAGCAAACTTACTGGCATACATTGTTGTAGAAAACACCGAAAAGCCTCAGTTAATCATCCACCTTAGCACTATGCCTCTCCTTGATTGTGGGTCTACTTCAGGTACTCTTAAAATGGAATAGGTTCCCCCACTGGGCACTCGATATACACATGACCATAGGTCGTAGCCACAACACATGTAACAACATTCATCTAAACAACACATCACTTCTTTAAATTACGTTAGAAAAATATTTAAGTTTTCCTCAAATCAGAACCAAAATTTGTAATATTGGACCCAAAAAGTCAAACTTAAAGACCATTTTGTGATGGTGGAAAATTACATTGTCTGCAGCAAAAAAACCCCAAACCAGATCCAGATATAATATTGCATACAAGAGCTAAATTTGAAATCTCTAAATTACAAAGATATTAATATACTCCATCCGTCCCATAGAATTCTCGAGAGTTTGACTTCAAAGAATTTAAGAAAGTTGTTGAAAAAGAAAAAAGTGTGTGGTTAGAATTTGTTCCGAGGAGAGGGAATTGTGGGTAGGTACATATTCATTATAACTATAGAAAATAAAGTAACTAATAATTTTTTTTGAATGGTCCGAAAATTAAAATATTCTATAAAATAAAGTATGATAACATCCAACCAACTAACCAAGCCTTAATTCTCTGAATCCATGGCAATGCCAACTTGAGCCAAATGAAAATCTTGTACAAAGTTCTATTTTTACTTTCTTTTATGTCATTATATCTAAGATTAACCAAAAATATAGATACAAATTTAGATGTCGAGAACTTTAACAAGGACTAGAAAGAGAAGTGCTTGGATAAAAAATGACCCATTAATTTGGAGGCTGATTTGTTAACTAACATTGTTTAGGGTCAAAAGGTGAGGTTAGAGGTGAGGAACAACAGACCGTTTGTGGAAATATCAGTATATCACTAAACCTGCACTCAGCTATCATGATTTAATATATCCTTATAAAGAAAATTCACTTAAACATATTATGAATGCGAACACGAATGCATCAGACCTTTGATCTTGGTGTCGGCTTCAGAAAGAAGGGTGAAGTTATTCTCCATGGCCAACTAAGTTCAAAGCAATTAAGTGACCTATAAAAGAAGAAATACAACTAAAGATAAGATGACTACGAGTTATTTACTGTATCTATGACAAGGAGAATTCAAGACTTATACAACCTCAAAAAAGACCTTACCAAAAGTACTCGTTGAAATCATCATAATTTCTCCAAGCTGAATGAGGTGCCCGCCCATTATCATTGTGTCTAGCTTCCTGCATAGATGAAGTTGGTTAGCCAGCTTTGAGCTATCTTCCATCCCTCCCCCTCGGAACAAAATGTCTTTGTATGCAACAAGCTCTCTTAGTTTCCATATCACTAGCTCTCATAGTTTTATGTATATTTATAAATATACACAAGCATGCACACATACATATACACATATTGTCATGATAATGCAATAATGAGAATTGAAACTACGTCATATGTACATGCACAACAAAACAAATGATCTGCAATGGATGGAACTTCAAATACAAACCAGTATTCCCAACAGTGCAGTAACTTTCTGAATCCTTAGTGGTAGCTTATTCAATTCAATATCAACAAGTATGCTCCTATTAGCTATGCTTCTCTGAATCTCGTCATATACTCTCTCAACCCTGCAATGGCACAAGAAGAGAGATGAATCTTTCTGACCAAATAACTTGCAAG